ACCATCAAATCTATAAAAGGCTGTAAAGTTAGACAAGTGGTGAGAAGACCAGAAGATAAAGACGACTGTCCATAATTTGGAAAACAAGGTAAGAAGGAAAAGGTTCAAAAATACATATATACACAACAAGAAAAAACAGGTTCTAATACAACAGTATATGCATACTTCCTACCAAAAAGATAAACTGTATTATTTCAGAGTTCTCAGATATTCTTTCTACTTATTTTTCTTAAATACCACTATGAAGAAGTATTTCAGAAAATTTATAGAAGTTCTATTAGGAAAAAGGAATAGTGGAATGATCCCTTATGCTTCTCTTCAATGATAGTTGCAACAAAAGGCATAAAGTAAAAATATATATATATATACAACATCAGAATCTCACTATGAGCTATATTAAAAATCACTACTAAACAAGCTTGCCATTCTTCTCAGGCTATACTAACTAATATTCTTGGATAAGTCCAAGAATACTTATTTATTCTAAATTTTCATCTATTTCAATATAGGACTATAATATTTCAGCATATTATATAAAATCCAGACTTGAACAATATAAAATTTACATTTTATGAAAGTCACACTAGCAAAATTCCTAATGAAACTGCAGTGCACTGGTAATGTACAAGCCTAAAACACAAGACCATGAAGCCAGGGACTGTAGGATACAACATGTCTTTTACTAGTATATAGGGGCACCTGGGTGGCTCAGTCGGTGAATATGTCTTTTACTAGTATCAAAGTAGAATAAGGGAAGGGAATAACAACAGACAGTCCCTGGCACATCACACACTTTCACATGAACAAGAGGACTGATAAAGAACAAATTTTCCATAAGTATTTTAAAAATCCTGTACCCCACAATACAATAAATCTGCCTGCTACTTACTGATTAGGAACAATTGCTAAAAAGGGTGAGATATTCCAGACTGAACAATATTTAAGCTAAAAATCTATTTCTTAATATTTTAGTGTATTTTATTATCCATCAAATTAAATATAAAATAAGCAACTGATACTTTACTTTTCTGATTAAACTCTCTGATAAGGGCCAGACCTAAACAAAAGTATTAATTATATACCTCCCCTTGTCAGAACTTTATGCTTATAAATGTTGTGTTCCCTTCATAATGCTTCATTCATTCATTCACTCATTCAAATAACTTAAATAACCACCATCTATATAAAAAAGGTAAATACAACTTAGACTTTGCCCTTCAAGTTTGCAGGGAATGAAAGACATATGCATGTAAACAAAGTTATAATAAAATGTACTAAATACTATAATTGATATACATATTGCTAAGTGAGCTTAGAGGAAGAAGCAATGCTCACTTAGGCATCCCATTATCCAAGTGAAGCAATTTCTGAAATCAAGAAAACTGATTTCTAATTTCTCAGCAAAGCTAAGAGTATCTTTTAACCTAGCATCTATTATCAAAATATTTTAATATCCTAATATTACTGAAGTATGTTTCAAAATACTTATCTTTCCTTAACAATCTTTCCTGTAGCACTGCCTCACATGACTTTTATTTTCAAACAACTTCAAACTTTATTTCAAGAGCAATGGTTTTTCATGGAATTCTTAAGAATGGACTGTGGGCTTAAAGAATCTCAACATTTCTTCATTTAACATTAGTATCTGTAAACATGGGCTGTGATATACCCTTTCTTATTTAAGAAACTTGGAAGCCAGTTGGAAAGAAATCTGCTCAAATACTTAAACATAAAACAAAGAGCACAAAGAATGACTTTAATACACACACACACACACACACACACCCAGACTGTGCTAGTATTCAGAAATGCAAGTCATAAATGTCTAACTAAACAGAACCCTTTTCAAGTATTTTCCCTTTTTCTAAGTTAACTGCACAATATTTATTATGTTCTGTAATTTATTAAAATACAGTGAGATCTGATTCTAGGGGATTAAGCCTTACCATATAATCAGGAGAAATAAACTCTACTTGATTATTTTTTAAAAGATGAAAAATAGATAAGTCTAGCCACAATGCACAAGGACAGCACACACTGGGGCACAAGTGTTTTTTTTTTTTTTTTTTAAGACTTTACTAATTTATTTGACACAGAGAGAGAGCACAAGCAGAGGGAGTGGTAAGCAGAGGAAGAGGGAGAAACAGGTTCCCCTTGGAGCAAGGAGAATGATGCGGGGCTCGATCCTAGGACGACATGAGCTCAAGACAGATGCTTAACAACTGAGCCACCCAGGTGCCCAGGGCACAAATTCTGAGACAGAATGAATATACAAGTATAACCACTGAGACAATAAAGTACAATACCTCAATTTGGATCTATTCTAGAGAATGTAGTGTGTGTATATATAGTTGATTAAACAGATTTCTGTTAAAAGTACCTAAGATGACCACTTAACACCGCATGAAATTTCCTGGCTCCAGGTCCTTTCTTGAGAGAAAGAAGTAAATTCTCCCTCATCTGAATATCTATAGTATTTTACCTATAAAGCACAATATCACATTTTCCTCTTATAAAATGACTAACTCACATCTTGCTGCCCCATTAGATCTATGTTTGATTTGTTCCTACCACCCACAGCCTAAACTAAGTAACCTCTAACTAGCACTCAATAAATAAGTTTTTGGATTAATAAACAACAGCATGCACGCTCACATATCCTCACTCTCACTCCCACACATAAATACACCAAAAGAAGAGGTGGGGGGGAGCCTAGGAATTTAGTTTTGCCACAAGCTCAGTATGAATTATGTGACAGATAAAAATAAAAATCTATCATATAATAGAACTGTGGTATTCAAACCAAAGGCAGCCAGAATCTCAACTTTTCCTTCTGTTAGTTACACTGTATTTGGAATATAGTATTAAATTTATTCTGAGGTGGTCACTAAAACCTTACAAAGGCTTAATGATTGCTTATTATTTCATGGTACTAATAAAGAATGGGTAATTTAAAAATATCTGAAGGTAAGGTTCATAGAAATTTACATGAATTGCTGCCACTAAAATTTTTACCTAGAAAATCAAACAGACGCTAAAATAAATCTTTTTACCTCCTTTATATCAAAGAGATTTTATAAATTATAAGTATTTTTTTCTACAATGATCATTACTTTTTAAAATGGAAAAATAAGTTAAATAAGTAAGTTATTTATTTCCATGCATAAAACACTTTAAGCTTCATAGCATTTCTTATTATCTGATTTTTCATCCATTAATATCTTTCTTAAGCATCTATACATCTGTACTTAAGCATAAGTACAAATAATAAACATTACTAAATAGTAGCCAGGATGCCTTCCTATGAGAAACAAAAAATACAGTTCTAGAAAAATAAATATGAAATACACACATGAAAAGGAACACAGAATGAATCAAATGCCAATGGTACAGTTCACCTATTTAAAGGGTCCAAGAAAGGTGTAAGTAAATCTTTAAAGAACTTGAACAGTACATTAAAAGATGATCAAGATTTAAGATAAATGACACAGAAAACAAGCTGTTCATGGTATATTCAGCAATTAGATCATTCTGGATGAAAAACACTTAATGTTGGGAAACAGAATAAAGTTTAGAAAAATAGACTAGAATTAATTTATAGAGAGAATCTTGAAAGCTAAGTTAAGAAATCTGGCTTACAATCATCAATTGAAGACTTTGGAGCGAGAAGCTGACATGAAAAAGGAAGCATTTTAGGAAGAGTCATCTTGTAGAAGTCCACAGGATAGCTTTAATGATAAATGGAGTGGAAGCTGGGAAACCTATTAGGAGCTAAATGAATCAGGGTTACAGCAGTAGGAAAAGCACAAAAGGAACAGATTTACTAATTACAGCAAGCAAGGCAGAGTCTAACAAAGACTACTCGAAGATTTTGTATCTAAGTGTCCCTAACCCACAGAAAGAAAAAAAAATATGGGGTTTAAGTGAGCCAGGTCTGGCTCAAATCTATGCTGTATAACTTTAAAGAAATCATTTAACTTCTCTGAGCCCTAGTTTTCTTGGATATAAAAAGATATTTACCCTGTTTGGGTTTTGAGAAGATTAAAATAGGAAGATGCATATAAAGCATCTATGCACCTGGGACACCCCAGGCACTAAATAAATGTGATTTTTACCTTCCTCCCTTGGCTCCCTGTTCTTTATCCCTTAACAATTCTGAGAAATGAGCATACAATAGGTAATCTGTCTACAAAACTCATTTTAGAACTGATAAAATTGAGTTTGGGGTGCCTGGGTGGCTCAGTCACTTAAGCATCCAACTCTTGATTTCGACTCAGGTCATGATTTCAGGGTCCTGAAATCAAGCCCCATGTTGGGCTCCACACTGGGCGTGAAGCCTGCTTAAGATTCAGTTTCTCCCCCTCCCTCTGCCCCACCAAACTCCTGTGCACTCTCTAAATAAATAAATAAATGAGAAATTAAATGACTTAATGACATAAAACCAGCTACCTTCACTGTTGGCCCCCTAAGACATTTATCTACCCATAAATCATATAAAAAGTAGTAGGAAATTATGAAAAAGAATCTTCCTTAGGGGCACTTAGGTGGTGCCGTCATTGAGCATCCAACTCTTGGTTTCAGCTCAGGTCATGATCTCAGGGTCAGGAGATCAAGCCCTACGTCCCACTCTATGCTCAGCGCAGAGTCTGCTTGAGATTCTATCTCCCTCTCCCTCTGCTCCTCCTGCTTGTGTTCTCTCAATCTCTCTCTCTCTAAAATAAATAAATAAATAAATAAATCTTTTTAAAAAATCCTCTAATAATACAATAAAGGACTGGATTCATAAATTTAAAAACATTTAAGTTTGACTGTTTCCTTAATATAAAAGGGTAATCCTTTTTAAAAGAAAACATTTTTTTGCATATATACCAAATTCTAGCGTAGGCGGAATTTCCAAATGGGGACCTTTCTATTAGAGAAGGAAAATTAATGGTATAAAATTTCTTCTTCTAACTTGATTAAATATGGAAAACTTCAGACTCAGCAAGAAATTTACTCACCTTCCATGGGCATGGAAATTTAGACGTAAAAACTGGTCCTCATGTGAAACTGCTCTTTTGGCACGCTGGTGTTTTTGGTGTAATGAATCCACATCATAAGATAATCCTTCATAATGTCTAATGTATTTATTTAAAGGATTTCCATACTGACCTATAAAAAATAAACAGTTTGAATTAGTATCATCTTGATGGTCCATTCTAGTTCTAATATGATTCCATGATTATTCAAATATCTACAAATACATATGAAACAATTGTCTCACTAATGTTAGTTTTTTACTTTCACATACTTTAAAAAACTTATTGTAATGGGAATTTCACCCACACAAAAGTTTGAATGTTAGCCATAGGTTTGTCTTTGATGTCTTCTATCATGTTTTCTATTAATACTCTGTTGGTAAAAACTACCAGGAACAGATGCTGACTTTTGTCACCTGCTCTTTCTGCACCTAGTAAGTTGATTATATGGATTTTTTCTTTTTAGTTTATTAATTATGATGAATTAAATTGACTGACTTTCTAATATTAAACCAACTCTGCATTACTGAATAAACCCTACCTGGTCACAGTGTATTATCTTTTACGGTCATGAGAGACATCGGTCTATAGTTTTCTTTTTTTGTACTATCCTTGCCAAGGTTTGATATTAGAGTAAAAGAGAAACTGAAGAAGTATACCTCTTTTTAAATTTTCTGGACCCTTTTATATAGAATTGGTATTAGTTCCTCCTTAAATGTTTGGTAGAGTTCACCAGTAAAGCCATCTTGGCCTAGAGTTCTCTTTGTGAAAAGGAATTTAACTATAATTTCAATTTCATATATAGAAGATGAGCTATTCAGGTTATCTACTTCTTAAGTGAGTGGTAAGAATTTGTCCATTTTGTCTAAATTGTTAAAGTTATAGAAATAAATTTATTCATAATATGCCCTCGTGTTTTTTTATATCTTTTGAATCTGCAGTGATGTTACCTCTCTCATTCCTGATATTGGTAATCTAAATCTTGTCTTTTTCATTTCCTGATCAGGATGGCTAGAAATTTATTGATTTTATTGATCTTCTAAAAAAAAAAAACCCTTTTATTTCCTTTCATTTTCCCTCATTATTTGTTTTCTATTTGTTGATTTTCACTTTGATCTTATTTCTTTTCTGCTTACTTTGAGTCTAACTGTTCTTTCTTGTTTGTTTCATAAAGTAATGCCACTGATTTAAGACTTCACTTCTTCTCTAATCCAGATGTTTAGTGCTATAAATGTCCCCTTAATACAGCATTAGCAGCATCCCATAGATTCTGTTACGTTGTGTTACCATTCTCATTCTATTCAACATACTTCCTAATTTCCTTTTTGATCCATGTCCTATTAGAAGTGTTACTTCTAATCTATCACTTATTTTATAACCCAGAATATGACCTATCTTTGCAAATATTTCATGGACACTTGAAAAGAATGTGTATTCTGCTGTTAACAGTGAATGTTCTAGATATGTCAATCTCTGCTCTTATTGAATATTCTATAAATGTCAACCAGGTCAAGTTGGTTACCAAGGTTGTTCAAGTCTTCAATATCCTTATTGATTTTCTAACTATTATCAAGACAGGGGTATTGAAATCTCTATGACTGTAATTTTTTCCTATTTCTCCTTGCAATTGTTTGCTTGATTTTTGAAGCTGTTATTACATGCACAGATGTTAATGATTATCATGCCTTTTGGTTTAAATAATCCTTTATCATTATCAAATGATCTTCTTTATTCTTTGTAATATTCTATGTCCTAAAATCTACTTTGATATTAATATGGCCATTACCCTCTTTTGGGGGGGCTAGCATAGTGTATCTTTTCCCATCCTTTTACTTTTTAACCCATTTGGTGGTGGTGGTGGTGTTTTTCAGATTTTTATTTTATTATTTATTCGAGAGAGAGAGAGCACGAGTGAGGGGAGTGGCAGAGGGAGAAGCAGACTCCCCACTGAGCAGGGGGCCTGATACAGGGCTCATCCCAGGGCCCTGAGATCATGACCTGAGCTGAAGGCAGACACTTAACTGACTGAGCTACCTGGGCACCCCTGAACTAATTATTTTTTATGATTCCATTATTATCTCTTCATTGGATTATCAGCAAAATCCTGTTTGGTTATTTTAGTAGTTGCTTTAAAGCTTATAGTATATAATCATTAACTTATCCCAGCCTACCTTTAAATGATATTATACCACTTCAGGTATAAGAACCTGACACTAATATACTTCCATTTCTCTCCTGCTGGCCTTTAGAGGTTATTGCCATTGTATATTTTACATATATATATATATATATATATATATATATATACACACACACACATATATATATCTTATAAACCTCACAATATATTGTTATTGTCTTCATTGAAACAATTATCTTTTAATGAGGATTAAATAACAAGAAAAAAATCTTCTCTAGTATTTCCAGGGTTATTTCTTTATGGTGAATCCATATTTCCATCTGGTATCATTTTCCTTCTGGATGATTTCCTCTAACACTTCTTCTGCTGGTGAAAAACTCTGTCTGAAGGTCTTTATTTTGTCCTCATTTTTGAAAGATATTTTCACTGGGCATTCCAGGCTTTCAGGTTTGTTTGGTTTTTTTTCTTTAAATACTTTAAAAATGTTGGTCCACCATCTTTTCACTTGTATTCCTTCTGAGAAGAAATCTGTCATCCTTATCTTTGCTCCTCTGAACATAATGTATCTTTTCCCTCCCTAGTTTGCTTTCAAGATTTTTCCTCTTTATCACTGGCTCTGAGCAATTTGATTACCATGTGTTTCTTCGTATTTCTTGAGCTTTATTTCAGTGAACTTCTTGGATCTGTGGGTGGACAGTTTTTCAACCATTATTTCTTCAATTTTTTTTTTTTTTAACTCTCTCCATCCTTCCCCAGAGGGACTCGAATTACAAGTGTATCAGGTGATTCAAACTTTTCCCACCGTCAACTGCTGGTTTTTCGTATTCATTAAAAATTCTTTCTTCTCTTTTCATTTTAAATTGTTTCTACTGCTGTATCTTCTAGTTCACTAATACTCTGCAATATCTAATCTGTTGTTAATGCCATCCACTGCATTTTCCACTGAAAACACTACAGTTTTCATCTCTAGAAGTCAGATGTGTTTTATATTTTCTATGTCTATACTTAACTTTTTAAATATATGAAATAGAGTTATAATACTCTTTTAATGTTCTTTTCTGTTAATTCTAATACCCGTGTCACTTCCAGGTTGATTCCAATTAATTGCTTATTCCTCTCATTATGGATTGCTGTTTTCCTGCTTCAGTGCATGCCTTATAATATCATCTTTCACCAAATGGATGCCGAACATTGCAAATTTCACTTTGTTGGGTGCTAAGCTTTTTTGTATTTTTATAAATATTCTCAGGCTTTGTTATAGAAGAAAGTATAGTTACGTGGAAACAGTCTGATCCTTTTGGGTCTTGCATTTATGATTTGTTGGGGGGGGTCTGGAACAGTGCTCAGTGTAGAGTTAATTATTCCCCACTACTGAAGCAAGACCTATCTGAGTAGTCTACCCCACTGCTTCACAAATAATGAGTTTTTTCAGTCTAGCCAGTGAGAACAGGCACTATTTCCTGCTCTATGTGAACACAGGGCACTGTTTCTTTCCCTGGCCTTAGGTAGTTTCTTCACATGTATTCGCTGATCAATATTCTGCCAAACACTAGGGAAACGGAACCCTTTGCAGATCTCAGGGATTCTCTCTCTATGCAGCACTCTTCACTCTGATAGTCTGGCCTCATTTGCTTCCCCTCTCTCAGGGATCATTGTCCTTTACCATCTGGTGACTAGTGTCTTTCAAAGCTGTGGTTTCCCTGTTTTGTTTTTTGTTTTTTTCCCCCTTAGGTTTCCTTAGTTTTTTTCAGGCAGAGGGATAAATTTGGTCCTGGTTTCTCCATCTTCACCATGAGCAAAAGTCAAAAAAGAGTGATTCCTTAAGAAATCAAAATTTCTTCCTAAAGAAAACTGCCTTCTTTTATAAAAGAGAACACCAAAATTAAAAAAAATATATATAATGGTTTATCTAACATTCTATAAAGCCTAAGTGTCCATCACTAAATTTTCTATATACATACAAGTCAGTGGCTAGTCATCATACAGTTAAGGACACACATTCTTATGTCAAATCATCTGGGTTTAAGTTCTGAAGTTTTCAGAACTTAATATATTTAACACTACTGAACTGTACACTTAGAAATGGTTAAGATAACAAATTTTATGGTAAGCATTTTTTTTTTACTAGAATTAAAAAATTATCTGGTTTAAATACCATAACCTTCATTTATTAGCCTGTTTCCCTCATCAAATGGAAAACTCAGCTTCAGTGTCCCATCCTTAAAACTGGAGAGAAGTAGAATACCTTTCTCCTAAGGCTGTTTGGATTATGATTTAAGCCATGTGTGGTAATTAGCAAAGTACCTACAATAGTGTAGAGGCTCAGTAAATTATTCATCATTATCATCCATCTCCTCCATCTCTTCCTCTACTTCCTCCTCCTACACTTGCCTTTGAGACCTACATACACAAATTGAGGCCATAAAGTGAGGAATAAACACAGAACTGGGTTTTCATTCTGATACTTCCTAGCCATGACTAGATGAGCTGGGTAATTATTTAACTTTTTTAAAATCTCAGAATTCTTATCTGTAAAATAGAGACAAGGACTACCTTAAATGGACGTAAACTGCTTAGCACAAAGACTAGCATTAAAGGATCATTTAATGTAAACTATTATCAAGTCACTTCACTGTCCTTTTAAATGCACATCTCTCAAGAGAGATGACAAGAATGGAGTCCAACACTAGAATCCGAAATTATGTTTGCAACTAACAAAGACAATACAGTGAAGCTAGGATATGAGATGATAAAGCCTGCTAGTATGAAACTTTTAAAAATCAAAACTAAATAATGGAATCAGATATTATACCATACATTTTCCACATTCTTTAAAAATATTTTTAAGTTTATACTTGGGTTTTAAGAAATCAAGAACGAGGAAGTTGTAGTATGAGAACTTTTGGTAGTTTCTTTCAATTTGAAATTCAATGTAGGGGGGCACTTGGGTGGCTCAGATGGTTAAGCGTCTGCCTTCGGCTCAGATCATGATC